TGCCTCTGTCTTCGCAGGTTCAATCCACCATAGGCTCTCACAGAATAACTCATGCAAATGGTGCAAAGAGTCAAACACCACCGCAGAGTCCCTGCAGGGCCTCTGTCCTCACAGGGCTGTCTGCCTGTCTCCACTTAACCCGAGAGCAGCCTTGCACGTGCCCAGGTGCCAGGGAGACTTCATTTAGGGACAAACCTGAGATTCTTGTAATTTCCACACGTCCACGCAAGACTGTTAGTACCGCCTTGGTTTTTTTTTTCCTTCCCAACTGTGTGAAAACTGTTTCCCTTGGACCCGTGACAAGGACTGTGCCTGACTGATCAGGTTCCCAAAGACGGAGGGGAATGCACAGGCTCAAATGTCCAGGCTCAACCAGTCCATCCTAAAGGAGATCAGTCCTGAATATTCATTGGAAGGACTGATGTTGAAGCTGAAACTCTAATACTTTGGCCACCTGATGTGAAGAGCTGACAAGTTCAAATGTCTCACTTGCTCTTGTCATTCCCACTTGCTTAGAAGACCGTAGACCCTGGCTTGCAGAGATAGGCACCAATCCCTTGGAAGGAGATGAAGTTAGAGTCCAGTCCTTACAAGCTCTGCAAGACAAGAGCTCGCGGCTGTCAGGAGGCAGGCGCCTCCCTGAGGCCGCCCCGTATTGAGGACCCCGTCGAGCTGCCTGCAGGGGCTGCCATCTCCAAACCAGCCCTGTCCGCAGTGTGAGCAGAAGGCAGCCCGTCAAGGGCACAGTCCACGGCTCTTTCCTCGGTCCTTGGCCTCGACCCCAGCCAGGCCCGGGCTGTGTGCCGCCCACAGGCTAAGACTCGAGCCCGCACTTTCAGTGTTACTATCACTCCTTTTTAATCAACAACAGTTTGTTTATTTGGCTGTCATGGGTCTGGTGAAGCAAGGAGATCCAACCCGTCCATCCCAAAGATCAGTCCTGGGTGTTCATCGGAAGGACTGATGCTGAAGCAGAAACTCCAGTACTTTGGCCACCTCATGTGAAGAGCTGACTCATTGGAAAAGACCCTGATGCTGGGAAAGATTGAGGGCAGGAGGAGAAGGGGACGACAGAGGATGAGATGGTTGGATGGCATCACCGACTCAGTGGACATGAGTCTGGGTAAACTCCGGGAGTTGGTGATGGACAGGGAGGCCTGGCTTGCTGCAGTCCATGGGGTCGCAGAGAGTAGGACGCGACTGAGTGACTGAACTGAACTGGGTCTTAGTTGTGGCACGCAGGAGTTTCCATCTTCGCCATGCGGGATCTTTAGTTGCAGCACACCAATTCTTCATTGTGGCACATGGGATTTGGTTCCCTGACCAGGGATTGAACCCAGTCCCCTGAGACTCAGAGTGCAGTCTTAGCCACTGGACCACCAGTGAAATCACCTACACATTTCAGTGGTTGGGGAAAACAAGTATTTTTGTGCCAAGGGAAAATGACCTGAAACTCACATTTCAGCCTCCTTGAACAAAGTGTTCCTTTGTTCACAACACTACTGTTGGTGTGTGTGGCCTGGGGCTGCTTTTTCATCCCCACAGCAGAGGTTAACACTTTTCAGAGACCACGTGGCTCACAGACTCGAAACAGTCACTGGGCTGGATTGGAGGGGCGCGCCGGGGGGGCAGCCATGGCAGAGCTCCCCCGCCCCCCCGGGGGGCCTTGGCATCACATCAGGGAGTGGGTGGCGTGGGGCCCCCCCGAGTCAGGGCAGTGGCCAGAAGCGCGCCTCAAACAACCCGCCCAGCCCTGGCCGACAAGTCAGGACGCACGAGAGGCAGGTTCAGTGGCCGGGCCCAGCACGGACGGGGCAGTGGGGGCAGGCAGGGAGGGCACAGCATGACTTCTGAGTCACAGCATGGCCCCGAGCTCAAGCTCCTGGAAAAAACAGGCCAGCAGACAGCCAGTGGTTGTGGACGGATTGGGCTAGAAGCCCCTGGGGACCAGGTCTGGTGTGCTCCTGAGGCTCTGGGTCAGGGCCGGGGGTTCAGAGGTGGAGATGGGGGCAGCACCTGCCTCCCCTTCAAGATATAAATTAGGTGATAATTAGGACTAACCACTCAAGCCCTGTGAAGCTGGACACCCAGCATCCTCCTTGCCCACAGGGTCAGGGGCCGAGCCCTGAACGTTAGGAAACCCTGGGGCGCTCCTGAGCGTCAAGGACAGAGGTTGGGCTTCTGCCTGCACCCCTCCCTGCTGGAGGCGGGCCACAGGGACCCTCCCCGGGGCCCCCCAGCCCCGTCCAGCTCTCCATTCTGGAAAAGGGCCAGCAGGTGCTAGGGGCACGGCTGCCTCACCCTGGTCCTCAGGAACGGGACTGTGTGGGCACGGGTCCCGGGACACACCTGAGTCCTGGGCCCACCTGCACACGCACACAAAGGGCTGCTCCCGACAAGAGCAAGAAACAGGACGGAAAACAGGCCCGCCCCGCATGCAGAAGGGTCTGCGCACCTGACTGGCTATGCCTCACAGGAGCCGGGGGGGCTGAGACGCAGAAGGAGAAGCTGGGGGGTGTGGCTGGGACAGGGGGGTGGGAGGAGACGGCCCACACACGCTCTCAGGAGAACCTGCCCACGGCTCTCACGGGGCTTCTGAGGGTCCCCGAGGCCCGAGGCCGCCTCCCCCGGGGCCCTACCTGCTCCGGACGTCCTTGGCACGGATGGGCGCCAGGAGGCTGAAGGTGGACCTGGACGAGTGAAGGGAGCAGTCGTCGCAGGCCAGGGGGCTGGGGGGCCGGCCGGGGCCCAGGCTGCTGTGCGCCCGGAACAGCCTAGCCTGCAGCCGGAGCTTGTAGTCGGCGTGATCCGGGTCTACCTTGTTCGCTGTCCGCAGGCCTTCGGAGGCCACGTTGCGGCCCATGGCGGGCAGCGGGCGCGGGGAAAGCAGGCTGGCCAGCCGGGGGGCGCTCCCGGCCGAGGCCCCTTCCCGGTGCAGCAGGTCCAGGGACGTGCTGATCATCCCGGAAAGACAGTTTCCCCATGAGGAGGGCCCCCCGCTGCCTGGGGCCCTGCGAGCCGTGGGGATCTCCTGCAGGGAGGCGCTCAGGCAAGGTGGGGAGCCGCTGCGGGCAGGGGTCCCGGGGGTCTCGTCCTGCAGGGAGCCCCCCGAGGGGCTGGCCCCATTCCGCACAGTCAGGTCCTCACGACTGGTTCGAAAACGCCTCTTTCTCCAGCCCTTCTCATCCAGGGATAGTGCCCGCTCCAGCCTGGGCCTCGGGGGTGGCGGCTTTGGGGTGAAGGGTCTCGCTTGGGCCTGTGGGTCCTCTTTGCTGACTTGCTCTGGGGTGTCCAGGGGGAGCTCTGGGCTCCTCTCGGGTCCCCGATGGTTGCCAGCAGCCGGGGACCCCAGGCAGGGGACAGGCTCTTCATCACTGTTCGGAAGCAGTCCCTTGAGCATGCTGCCTTCAGGACGCAGACACCCCTGGGCAGTGGGCTGCTGGGAGGCGGCCTCTGAGTGCCCCAAGCTCGCCAACTTGGATGGCATAGTCCGGGGGGTCAGTCCTCAGGGCTGGGGGCAGGCTGGCTGGCCCGGGAAACGGCTCCTCTGGGGGCTGCTGCCGACGCCCAGGGTCAGGGCCGCGTGCTCAGCCGTGGCTGGGGGGGTCGCGGAGCAGAGGCATGGCAGCAGCTCCCCCTCGGGCCTGGGATGGTCCGGCTCGCACAGGACCTGCTGCTGCATGGCTGGGAGCCCCGAAGGTCCGGAGTCCCGAGAAAGCACCTAAGGGAACACCCCGCGATTAGCCTTCATCGCGCGGGTGGTGATGCCATTCAACAATCCTGAAGCACAGCACGGGTCAGCGTGACAGCGCACAGGCCATTAGCGGCAGAGCAAGAACAAGCATTTAGGCATCCTGGTCCGCTGGCTCCTCCCAGGAGACGGGTGAAAAGTCCAGCATCTTAGGATGGAGGGAAGCCCCCCTTACGGCGGGGGGAGGGGAATGGGCGGGGGCACGGCTCCTCACTTGGGGAGCCAGGGGCCCAAGGAGAGAGAATTCCCGCCCCAAAGGCGTAGGCGCAGCCTCGGAGGGGGACCCGGACCAAGCCCATTCCTCACCCCGCCCCCACCCGGCGGGGTCATACGGCCCTAACTCGCTCACTGCACGCCCACCACCATCGCTCGGCCCTCAGATACCGCCCCGAGAGCAGGCGACCCTAAGCAGCCTGCGGCCCGGCTGCGAAGGCCCCTGACTCAGGACTAGCGAGTCTGGCCCGGCCGGTTGCGCGCTCCCCAGGGTAACAACCGCCCGGAGCCGCGGGGCTGGAGACGGGTTAGGGGGACGAGGCCCGCGCCCGGGGACCTGGCGCGACACGGACGCCCGCGCCCCGCTCCGCGCCGGGGAATCCGGCGACTCGACCCGTGCGCCCGGACTCCAACCCCGGGGTCGCCCCGCCCCGTCCTCGAGCCCAGCTTAGGGGTCGTCCCGCCTAAGGCCTCCGCGCTCCCGCCCAGGGGTCACTCGGGGCCTAGGTCTGCTGGCCCCGTATCCCCGCCCTGGACTTTCTCCGGGACTGCCGCCCCCGCCCGGGGTCATCGCGCCCCGTGCCCCCACCTCTTGATGCCGCCAGCTCCCCAGCTCCGCGGGCTTCGGCGGCCGCTCCCAGGCAACCGGCGGGCAGGACGGCCTGGATCCCGGTGCCCGCAGCGGCCACTGGCGGCCGGAGGACCTAGGCGCGTGGAGCGAGGGACGAGGGCGGAGGGCGCCCTCGGGTGGGCGCCAGGACACCTCGTCTCCGTATTTGACAGTGAGGACCCTGGGGCGGAGTGGAGCCTAGAAAGCAGAGCGCTAGCCTGGTCCCTCTTCACTGCCCTCAGGATGGGTTTTCCTATCCAGGCCCGCCCACCGCCCATCGGAGAGGAACCCCTTTCTCCGGGGGGCCCCTAGAGGACGGGTCTGGCAGAGGGACAGAAAGTAGTGGCCCAGGGAGCCCTAGCAGCCAATCAAAGTGCAGACGAGGCCCAGATCCCCAAAGGCTTCAATAAACAAAAGGAGGCAGGGTGAAAGGGCTTGAGAGCGCAAAATATTTTATTTAACAATTTGCATTTAGGAAAAATAGCAGCTCCCGCCTCGGAGGAAGCTTCTTGAATCAAAACTCACTGGCGGTGGACACAGACAACAGGCAGGGCAGTGCCGGGCAGGTCTCAGCCTGGGGGTCGCACTAGCGCTGCCCCTGGACATGAGACCGCCCGCCGGTGAGGCTGGCCCCTCCCAAAGGGACACATCTGTGACGCGTCCTGGAAACCGTTCTGCGGGTCCTTCTGAGACGACCCAGTGGACCCGAGGGCCCTGTGCTGACCCCACCCTACCCAAGCCCGGACATTTGGATTAAAACCCAACAAACCACGTCCCCCAGCGTTCTACAGAAATTATTTCCTAATGATTTTTATAAATATTTAAATCTTTTCTTTAGTCCCTTTAGACTGAACAAGAAGAATGAACAGTTTTGAGAACAGTCGATGAAGCCTTAAAGCTGAGGCCGCCAGGAGGTCATCGTCCTGTGCCGGTTCACAGGCTGAGTCAGCAGGTGAGCCGCTGACAAGTCCGGGGCCAGAAAGGTTGGACTCTGGAGCTTCAGACAAGAAACAGCTGCAAGCCACTTTCTTCAGGATGTTACCAGCTCCCTAAGCGACGCAGCGGTGAGAGACAGCAGTCAGCTGGCAACACTGCCGGGACCGGCCGCGGGAAGCAGGGCCCGGCAGGTCCACAGGAAAACCCAAACCAACCCCGGGAGCCCCAGCTGTGACGCTGGACCCGTCACTCAGAACAGCTCCGTCCCAGCCGGCGCCGCGGGCTGCCAGAAGCCCCCTGGTGCTGGTGAGGCCACAGGACGCCACGCAGGGCTGGGCGCAGCTGGCTCCAGGAGAGAACGCACGTCGGCAGCGAGGGCCGCTCTCGAAGCCTGACGAAGCTGCTGCCACAGGAGGCCGCGTCCTCCGAGACGAGCGCCCTTCTAAAGGGGGCCGTGTCCTCCGAGACGCGCGCCCTTCTAAAGGAGGCCGCTTCCTCCGAGACGAGCGCCCTTCTAAAGGGGGCCGCTTCCTCCGAGACGAGCGCCCTTCCAGGCTCAACAACATGGGGCGGGGGCTGACCTGACTGCCTCTGGGTACAGGGCAGGCAGGCGGGCCCCTCTCTGAGTCAAAGGCGCACGGTCTCCTGGCATCTGAGAAGGGCCTCTGGCTTCACCCGGCAACGATTCACCGTGAGGCTTTGAGAGACGCCTCAGTTACTGAGAAGCAAACTCCTCCTGCAGCCAAGAAGGCTCCAGGTTTACCCAGTGTCACGTCCTCAAGTGACTGCAAACGGTGGGTCCTTCAATCATTCCTTTGGGTCAAAGAGTCACTGTTCATCCAGCATCTTGAAGGTGTGGAATTAACGTTGGAACGCTCTGTAAGTCATTTGTGAGTCGCTGCGTTCACGTCCATCTGGGGACAGACTGCAGTCGCAGGCCACTGGCCTAAGCCCTTGGCGAACAGCCGCCTCCCGTCCTGGTGCCGCTCCCGGACACGCCTTTCTAGCTTAACGCCGGGTACTTCCTCTGGCCAGTCCTCCCGGCCCTTGAGCTTCCTGCGGCGGCGGGGGCCTGAAACAACAGGGCCGGGGCTGAGGTCCGCACGCTGGCCCCGGGGGCCGCGCAACAGGCAGGGCAGACGACTGGCCGCAGTGAACCGGCGTGTGCTGCCCCGGTCCCTGACTAAGGCAGGGTGGTGGGGTGAGGCCGTGCCCACAGCCGGCGATGGGGGAGGCAGGGAGCGCCCGGGCAGGCTGCATGGGGCACAGGCGTTTACTCTGGAGCCCAGGAAAACCCTAACCCAAGTGCAAGTCAAGGAAGTTTTGTGAAGGCATCCGCAAGGTGAAGACCCAGCAGAGAAGAACCCCCTCGGCTGTGGACTGGAGACGCGGATGGCGGCTGGGAGCAGGGAGGGCGCGGTCACGAGGGCCCGCCCCGAGGGAGCCCGAGGTTGGGCACCCCAGGTGGTGAGGGCAGGGTCTGCCCTGGGCCAGGGGAGGTCGAGCCAAGCCCTCCCGGCAGAACCCCTCCTCTGCTGCATCCCGAGATGGCCCCCGCCTCCCGTCCACTCTCTCCAGGCCAGAGCCTGGGAGGGAGACAAACCAAAGGACACATTTCCTGCCTGAAGGTCACCAGCCACCAGGCGAGGAGGAGCCAAGGTCAGCATGGGAGGGGGTCAGTCCCACCCCAGGGCGGTGGCAGCAGGAAACTGACAGGGTGCCCAGCCCCCTCCCCCGGGGCACTACCGCCTCCCCAGGGCAGCGGCAGAGCCGGGCAGACAGCGAGGGCGCTTACTTGTGCAAGCTGAGCCGGGTTGTAGAAGGGCACCGTGGCCCCAGGAGGGGCCCCCGCGGGGGCCGGAGCGCCAGGAGCCTGGGGAGCACAGAGGGAGGGCGTCTCACCCTCTGACCAAGCACAGCTGCTCGGTGCATTTGCAAATACAGACAAAGTTTCTGAGGAAGGGTTTGTTACGCTTTTGAAGACGCCACAGAAGCAGGTCAAAGGCACTTATTGCAGAACTACATTTAATTATTTAACGGGGCTCAGAGAAACAGTCAAACCAGGGCATGCACACGCAGCAGTGGGGGGAGGGGAGTAGGTACTAGGGATCGCTCCAGACCTCAGGCATCCAGCTACAAAATCCAGTGCTCTAGTTCACAAACGAACAAGTCCCAGGAAGTCTTTCTGCTGAGCCAAGGGAAAAGCTTAGTTCCACAACACATGGAAAAGCTGAAGTATTCCTTTATTTCCCATATGGCCTGACCACAGGACAGCAGTCACCACCTCACCCTGCCTGGCCTGAAACACTTTCTCCTGCTGATCAGAAAACAGAACCTCTGCTTTTGAAATAAGAGCGTCCTGACCCCAGTTGGCTTCTGATGTGCACGCGTGCACGCGCACACACACCCCGTGAGGCTATGCCTGTGACTGGTCCTTTAAAAAACTCCATTCAGAAAGAGCACAACCACAGAACTAGTCCCTTCACTGCGGGCATCCTGGAGTCAGTCTGACTGTGGATGTGCCTGGATATCCAACACCACCCTCTGAGAACCTCGACAGAAAGGGACGCCGCGCGCTCAGGCGTGTGAGGGCCGAGCGGCGACAGGTGGCGTCAGCGGCTGGGGCACAGCGAGTGGGCAGCACAGCGGCCTCAGAGGAGAGACGAGCCCCGTGCACACGGCCAGCCACAGGTACCTGGTCAAAATGCTGGCTCACTTCCCGTGACAACGAGCTCAGCGAACTACAGCGCGAAAGCTACAAAACAGCAAGAACACAGACACAGACAAACACCGAAGTCAGCGTGCGCGCCGCTGCTCCACACCGGCAGCTCAATCCCAAGCAGCTACCCTGCTGCTGGAATCAGTGCAGCTCCATGGGGAGAAAGCCTCAAACTCCTGTCGCATGGGCAATTTTTACAGCAAATGACCCGTGCAAGACGGAGGTCTGCCTAGCCCTGGGCCTCAGGCGGCCTGACCTCACGCTGCCCGAGGGACAGAGGGGACCCCCGCTGATGAGCGCTCGCAGCCCTCACGCTGGCCCAAGCTCCCAAATGACTGCGGGCACAAGTGTGACTTTTCTAAGAAACACAACACTGCTCCAGTTCCTTAGTTTCTAAGCTGCCCTTTCGCCGCCCGTTAACACCGTCTTAGAGAAGGCGTTCGGACAACGTGGGCCCCCGAGGCCCAGATTCCCCGCAGATGCGCCCCCCCCAGTGCTGCTTACCTCTCCTCCCTGGTGGCCATCCAATCCAGACGCTGGGAGTTCAGGTCCAGGGAGCGACGCCACTGCAGGCCCGAACACCTGCCAGGGCAGGGGGAGGCTGCTACCAGCAAAGCCGGGTGAGCCCGGGGCTCCCAGGCGAGGCAGGACCACCCGCGATGAGCGGCACGACCCCCCGGGGGCGCCTTCTGAGACGCCCTGCAGGTTCCGCACGGACCTGCTCCTCCAACCCACATCGCACCCTTACTTACCGGGCACCTGCTGTGCGCCCCATGGCGGCCCTGCAACCGGCGCTGTGACCCCGTCCACGGGGCGGCACCCCGAGGCTCAAAGGAGCTGAATGGCCCCATCCCCTGCCCCCACCTTTTCCTTTCAGCCTCGCCACTCCGCTTGTGGGATCTCAGCTCCCTAGCCAGGGACTGAACCCTTGCCCTGCAGGGGACGTACAGAGTCCCAACCGCTGGACCACCAGCCCCTCACCCCCAAACTTTAAATAGCTAAGTAATGGAGAACCAGGGCTGAAATCAAGCTCCATCCAAACTCAGGTATCAAACTCTAAATGACTGTATTTCACACACATGAAGAAACCCTCTACACTATTAAAACGTCAGCAGGACAGTGTCCCCAGAGAACACGTGCGTGGCTACCTCTCGGGGGAGCAGGAGGCTGACTTCCACTGCCCCCCACACCCCTGCCCTGCGCACGGCTCACCTTGGGATCCGAGGCGGGCTCCGGCCTGGCTGGCCCCTCCCTGCCGGCCCCCTCGGCGGATGGTACCTCCTCTGCATCTACGGGGAGATGGGGGGTGGGGGGAGGCCCTCTCATCCACAGAGCCCTGGGGCATGGGGGACTCAGCCCCAGGGGATGCGCTCCACCTGCCACCCCCGCACACACACGCCTGCAGACAGCACGGCGGGCCTCGCGCTCTGCGTCCGCGGCACTCTTCTTGAAAGAGGACCAAGGCCAGGGGCCCAGAATGAGACCCAAGGTCAGTAGGCCAGGGGCAAACATCCCTGCTAAGTGGGCTGTGTACCTGCGTTTGGGCCCAACAGGTGAGCTGGAATCGGTAGCGGGGCCAGGGGTGCAAAGAGGTCAGTGGGAGCCAGGGCTGGCTCGCTCCGCTGGGGTCCCCCCGGGTTCAAGACGTCCACGTAACGTGCCCTGGTCCCAGCTATGACGCAGAGAGGGGGCAAGGTCACCCCATGCCGTGGTCCCCGCTCCATCCTCCATGTGTCCAGGGAGCATGGGGACCCCACTTCCAGCCCCAGGAAGGCCGGGCTCTGACAGGGAGCCTCTCCCGGGGCCTGCTGCTCAGGTGAGGGTCTCACTTCATGCCATGATGCTGCCAGGATGCCTTTCCGATTGATCGGATTCACCCTTCCAGGACCACTCACTGCTCGGGAAGACGCGCACCCCCACCCCAGACATCCTCAGAGAACCAGCCCTCTTCTCGAGGGAGACAAACCACGCCTGACACACACGTGGTCCCTGCTGGGCTCTGGAGTGCCTAGAGGATGAACAAACGACCCAGACGACCTAGCTTTGGGCTGGACTTTGTTACCTGCTTTTCTAGAATACATGTTCACAGTGGGCCTGGGGGGCCCTCCGGGACCAGGGTGGGCAGCGTGTGGAGCCTTGGGAAGGGCAGCTGGAGGCGGGGGCGGAGCCTTCTTCTGCAGAAGGAAAGCCCACTTGGAGATCCGCTGCCCCACAGCTCCTGCCCTGGGGAGGGCCTCTCTGCCCGGGGTCCCAGCGAATGCCTGGGGTCCCAGCTCACCTCCTCCTCTGGCTCGTTGATATCCACCCATCGGTTCTTCTTCTCATCCCAGACAATCTGCCGGGGTTGTGAAAAGCAAAAAGAAAACTCAGCACAAGGTGAGCAGAATCAGACCCTGAGCACGCAAGAGGCACTGGCTCAGGTTCGCCAAGGGCTGAGACGCTCCGTGCAGACAGCTGGAAGCCCTGCTGCTGCAGACCCCCCGGCTCCTCAGGCCCACCTGGCAGGACTCACCGATTTGTTCTTGTCATCTGGCAGATAGGCTTCTGTCCTTTTCTTCACAGGCAGCCAGCGAGAGAACCAGGATTCGCTGCTCTGAACAGAGAAACCACCAGAACAAGCCTGAGGACGTGGCGCTGAGAGACCGAGCGCAGCACAGCAGGGCCAGCCACGCGAGCCCCCGAGTCAGGGCCTGCAGGCGCCACGGCCAGAGGCGGGAGGCAGATGCCCGGCTGGAGGCGGGGGCGACCTCCAGGGCTCAGGGCTTCGGTGTGGAAGATGACAGAGGCCTGGGGACGGTGGTGGTGGGCGCGTGACAGAACCGCACACTTAAAGACAGCCAAGTGGCCAGTGTGATGTGTATTTTACCACAATTATAAAAATCGGAACAGTAATTTGCCTCCTGGAGCGTCTCACATCCAAATGCCAACGACAAGCAGCCTGAGACCGTCTCCCGCAGCAGCAGTGACGGCCAGCAAGTCCATGCGGGCTCCTCAGAACAGGTCCTGTACCCCCAGGCTGGGACAGGGCAGGTGTCAGGGAGGTTGGCCTTGTCCCGCACATGCCGCCCATCACGTCTGCTGCAAAGCGCAGCAGCTCCACAGCCCCCACCCGCTCTGGACCTGCGGCCGACTCTGCGCTGGGGGCGGGGTGGGAATCCAGTCACCTGCGCGGCTCACCAACATTTTGAACTAAACTTGTGTTTACTTGCGATACCAGCCATGGGGGCTTCCCTGGTGGCACAGTGGATAGGAATCTGCCTGCCAACGTGGGGGACGTGGGTTCCATCTCTCATCCAAGGAGATCCCCTGTGCTGTGTAGCAACTAAACCCAGAGCCCCGACTGAGGAGCCCGAGCACCCTAGAGCCCGTGTGCCACAAGGGAAGCCGCTGCAGTGAGAAGCCTACACAATGCAACAAAGAGCAGCCTCCAGTTGCTGCAACCAGAGAAAGCCTGTGTGCAGCAACCCAGACCCACAGCAACCAAAAATAAATAATTAAAAAAAAAAGATACCAGTCATTAAGGCAGTCTGCTGAGCGCTAGACTAAGAACCATGTTCTTCCCAAGCCACCATCAAAGGATAAGAGGCCACCCAAGTCTGGAGAAAACGTTCACAACACACATCTGACAGAACCTGCATCCAGGTAAGAAGGACCACCGCCAGCCTGCTGACCCCGGAAAGGACGGGAGAAGACTTGAGTGGCTCCCCGCAGACAAGGCGGGGTGGGGACAAGCACCCGGAAAGGCGCTGTGTCGTTACTCATCGGCAGAGGCACCAAGCCCAGCACGACGGCCACCGTCAGGAAGGCGGACAGCGCAGCCCCAGGGATGGCGGGGCCGGGGTCCAGCCTGAGTGGTGCTGGAAGGGCCACCTGGTGAACGTGCGAGGAGGCCTGTCCAGCAGGACATTCTAAAGCTGGACACACGGCCGTCCCGTGACGCTGGGATATACTCTCGGGAAAGAAGTGCATCTACCACAACAAGACACAGACGAGAAAACTCACGTGACTGTATCCCTAATAAATGCAAACTAAAATGAAGCAATTAACGTCCGTTACTGGCAGCAAGGAAGACAGAAGCGTGGTGCGAGGGGGCGCCGCTCGGCCGCGCGGTGCACGCGAGGGGCTGGGGAGGCCCCGCGTCCAGGGCCCCCGGCCGTGAGGGCAAGGCCTTCCAGGGGCCCGAGGCGCTCCCAGGGCGGGTCCTGGAATCCACTGGGCCCGCGCACTGAGGGCGGGGGTGGCTTACGAGACAGAACTGTTCAGAGAGATGCTCATCCCCGAGGTGAGACAAGTTTTTCAATACAGTTAACGGTCACTTTTACTTTCTCAGGGACACAATATTTTGATGGTAAAATACACAAGGAGAGTGTCCCAGGACACCAAAGAGAACTGGCAATCTGTAAGAAGCTTCCAGACCACATATATAAAAGCGTTTATCCACCTGCCCTCCCATCCCTGCCACTGGGATCACAGCACACAGAAGGGGTGTTTGTTTATGTCAAACACATCTGATACAATGAATCTTAACTTCAAGGAAAGCACTAAAAGTTTTATGGATCCTGAAAGAGATGCAGAAATCAGAGAAGTTCTCCATCTTAGAAAGCTTAAAAATGACAAGATAATTTCATTACAGATACATGTTTCTCTTCCTTAAAAACCTTCTTTTATTCTATTACTATTCTCCCTATTAATGTTTTCATTAGTTCTTCATATTTTAAGGATTCAAGGTTTCTCTTTATGAACTAATTCAAAAGACCACCTCATAAATTTAAGTACTATCGATCTACTTACAATTTAAGAAAAAAGAACAGGAGTACTTATTCGGTGAGTTTACATAAAACAAACAGCTTAAAAACAAAACTGAAGTGGGCAAGTACCATATTAGCAAAGTTCCCACCAAACTCCTCCTCTCCCGGCTCCGAGTTCGAGCTTCTGCCCGGCGTCTCCGGTGGCACCGCCCCTGCCAAGGGAAGCGTGGCTCCGGTGAGCTCGGCACCAGCGCCTGGGGCTGGGGAGCACCGCGGCCACGCCCGCCGCTGGGGATGCACGGCTCCCCCACCTGCCAGGCCTCCCAAAACCTTCAGAAACCCAGACTGCAGCGTTCTGAACGTGTAGAGATGAAGCTTCACTGTAAGAGCCAGGTTGTCCAGCTGGACAGACGGCCAGGGACAGCCTTGCAGGAGGCTCAGCGCATCCCCTGGGCCACAGGGTTGCCCCCCGCCCCTGCCCCGGGACACCCACGCCCACCTCCCCCCAGTCGGGATGACTTAGGGTCCTCCTACAGGCACCTCCGTGAAGAGCAAACCCACCCTGCTCTGCCCTCAGGGTGGCCCCTGGCAGACCCACCTGCGTCCTGGCCCCTGGCCTCCGGGAGCAGGCGGTCTGTGTCCTGGAGGGTTGGCGCCCCAGGTCCAGGGTACAGGGCCATGGGGTCAGGCCCGGAGGGCTCTGCAAAGCCAGGTACAGCCTCTGGGGGTCCATGTACAGGCCCCAGCTCAACAGGGCGCGGCAGTGGCACAGGTAACATGGGCACCCGGGCGGGGATGGCTGGTGGGCCGTCAGGGAGCGTCAGAGGAGCTGCGGGAGGCAGTGGAGAAGGACCGTCTGAGGCCATGTGCTCGCCCCAGTGCCTCCACAAGCACACCTCGTTTACTGGGAGACGGAACCCACCGTCTGAACACAAAGGCTGAGGCTGCCGGGGTGTCACGGGGCCTCCGCACAGCGCAGGGCGTAGGCTCGAGGCCGCGGGACACCCCGACAGCCCGGCAGGCAGCCATCTGGCCCCACGCAGGCCCTCTGCCTTCACGGCCCTCCCACCCCGCTGCCTCTGGGCACACAGGCGGCCTGCCCACTCTGCCAGACCTTCAGAGCCATGGGACCCGACGGGCTCTTCGAGGGAGGAGGCTGCGGGCGGAGGAGCCGCGGCACCGCGTGAACGGGCTCACCTGAGGGCAGCAGCCGCACGTCCTGGCTGAAGAGTTCAGCGCCAGGCGCCGGCGGGGCCAGCAGCGGGTTGTCAGCGCCCAGGCCCAACAACTGGGTGGGTCCCGGGCCATCACGGGGCCCCACCTCATGACTTGGCGAGCTGGAGCAGCGCTGGGGGCAGGCTCCTTCCTGACTCCAGGCCATGGCGCCCTCCTGAGGGAGAAGGGCCTCAGGTGTCTCCCCGCCGGACGCCGCCCCCCGCCCGACAGAGGTGCCCAGAGCACAGACGCCTGCCGAGCGTGGTGTGCACACAAGGACCCCGTCACACCAGCTCACCTTGACCTGTCTCTCCATGAGCTGCAGCTGGACCAGCCAGGCGGGCTCCGCAGACGCCTCCTCCTCCGGCTTCTCCTTCAGCTGAGGGTCAAAGAGGCGCAACTGGGAGGCGACCTGGAAACACACGGAGATGCAGGCTCTGTTTCCACAAGAGATGCCCACCAGACCTGCTATGGCCTGGAGACAAGCCAGACGGGACACGCAGTTTTCCTCCACCACGGGAGCCCCTGAGTTGTACTCGCGGGACCATCCATGACTGTGTACACGTGAAAAGAGGAGTCTGGGAACATCCATGACCGTGTACGCATGAGGAGAGGGCCTGGGAACATCCGTGACTGTGTACATGTGAGGAGAAGGCCTGGGAACATCCACGACTATGTACGCGTGGGCAGAGGGCCTGGGAACATCTGTGACCGTGTATGCGTGAGCAGAGGGCCTGGGAACATCTGTGACCATGTACACGTGAGGAGAAGGCCTGGGACACCCATGACTGTGTACACGTGAGCAGAGGGCCTGGGAACATCCGTGACCATGTACACGTGAGCAGAGGGTCTGGGAACATCCGTGACTGTGTACACGTGAGCAGAGGGCCTGGGAACATCCGTGACCGTGTACGCGCGAGCAGAGGGCCTGGGACATCAGCACCCCCTGCACTGGCCGCGGAGGCCACAGCACTGGACAGACCCCGGGGCGCTGAGCCCGCCTTCACGGGACTCTACTCGCCGAGGTGTCCCCCGACCTAGAGGCGCTCGTGCTCTGGGGAGCCGTGGGGGGCACAGACACACCAAGTCTGGCCTCGCGGTTAACAGCTGGAGCTGCAGCACAGAAACGTGGGCTCAGCAGCCTGTCTGTGCGGCTCCTGTGACTCCGAGAGCATCCACGCCAAAACTCTTCAGTGTCACGAGAGCACGGGGTCAGTGCCACCTCCAGGGAGAGGGACACATGGATGCTGGGCGCTGGCAGGAGGTCGTCACGTGCTTTCTGTCTCATGGAGCAAGAAGTTGGGGCCGTGGGGCCACAGCCAGGACCCAGCCCAGTCAGGCTGGGGTGCCCGGGTACGTGGGCCTCCTGCCAGCAGGCCCTTCTCACGCCAAAGCTCCCAAGGGCCCTCTGCTGCGGTGCAAACACCTGCTCCTGCCCAGGAACGTGCAGGACCCACCCCAGTCGGGAGGTCTGAGAGCCACGCTGCTGCGGCCCCGGGACCCCTGGGATGCAGGAGGCATCACCTGCACCAGCTGGCGGAGCAGCACTGGCGAGTGTCTGTGGGGCTCTGCCAGGACGCTCTTGGCGATTGCCTCGCAGTAGTGGAAGGCCTGCGTGGCCAGCCCCATCTCGGCCAGGCGGCAGCAGTAGATGAACTTGAACACCTGGGACAGACAGAAGAGCTCAGTGGGCTTGAGCCACCCGGAGCAGCCTCCCCGCACCCGGCCGGCCCTGCCCTGGTCCTTCTGTCCTTCCTCTGCGTTCTCCACGCCCCCTGCCCCGCCTGCCCACAGCAGAGCCAGTCTCCTTCCCTCAGCAAGTTTAGATCAGAGTACACAACTAAGCTTCTGAGAAACGGACTTGCCCTGAACACAGCCATCAGCGTTCTCAACCACGGAGGGAGCACGAGGCGCCACTGCGTGTGTGCCTGACGGCAGCCCTCGGGAGCCACCCGTGCGCTCACCTGCTCGGCTGGCCACACGCACAGGCCCATCAGGCACCACCCTCCCCGAAACACTGTCCACAGCTGACAGGAAAGAAACTGGCCACCACACAGTGCAAGTCCTTAGTACTTAGAGTACTGAGAACCAAACCACAACCGGAACTCTCAATTCGACGGGCTTTCGTTCTCGAGCATTATATATTAAGACCTCCTCAAACTTCCAAACAGACTTCATCGCTTTTGTTTCTTTGAATAGAACCCCTAAGAGCTGCAGCTCTGTGAGCACTGACCATGCCCACAGCCAGGTCAGAGCCGGAACCCGGGCCCCACCTGGAAGCTGGGTAAGGAGCAGGTCTGTGCCCCCAAGGACTGAGCGAACTCGTAGGCTTCTGTCCTCTGGATCGCTTCGTTGGTCGCGAACTTTAAAAACGGCAAACTGTGGAGGACAGGCGTCGTGTTACGCTGGAGCGGGCCCCGGAAGCAGAAGCGCCAGCACACCACGCCCCACGCGTGCGGCCCCGGGCAGCCACGTGGGGCCCTGTCCCTTCTAAGGGGAGCGGGCGCCACGATGCAGACGTGTCCCTTACCTGTGGTTTGACCCGATTAAGACAAGCTTTGTGGTCTTCCTGGTGTACACCCCGAATCCGACCTGGGCCATGAGGTAGCAGAAGTGCGCGGCGTCCAGGAGCCCTTTGGAGGCTGAGGGGATGGAAAGCAGGCGGGCTCGGGCTCCGGGACGCACCGCGCGCCCAGGGACACACAGACGCCCCGGACGGAGGGCCAGTCTCAGGCTGGAGCACCGAGGCCCAGCCCCCCTTCCGCATCCAGCCTGACCTACCCAGGGTGTCGCCCATCGTGGCCATGGCCCGAGACTCCACGTCCACGTTGCTGCTCAGGTTGGACAAGATCATGGCCAAGTGCGGCCGCCAGTCTCCCCACTTCTCATCCCCACAGCACTGAAACCAGAAGCAAGCACAAAGCACTCAGCCTCAGAACACACTCAACTCCGCAGGGCCCCCGTGCGCGGGTGTGAGGAGGAAGCAGGCGCGGGACGTCCGCATGGGATCAGGCTCCACGCAGACGCTGAACTGAGGCGCCGTCAGGACCCACTGACCGTGGACGCGGCCGGCATCCGCCCTGACATCAGCTGGTAGACGGTCTGCAGGGGGTCGTTGATTGGAAGGCTGTTGGCAAACCTGAGCAGACGTAAAAAGAGGAAGTTCAGCCAGAAAAAAGACACACAAAACAAGCCTGGCCTCACCTCCGCCCATCTGGTGACTGGCCTGATGCTTAACCTGGGCCAAACATACACACCAGTGTTTTTATAAGGCTGCAGTAGAGAAGACTACAGAATTCATTGAGATTTTACAGAATTAAATGCTGCAGTCAACAAAAAAAGTTAAATCCCTTAGCCACACCACCCGAGGCAGAGGGCCCAGCCAGCCCACAGCCACGTGTGGCAGACGGGCCTCCCCAGCTTCCCCCGCCAAAGAGCTCCAGGGCCTGTGGGCTCCCCACTCCACAGGAGGCCGGGCCCTGCCCACGGGTACACCCACAGCCCGTGCCACGGCAGGGCTCCTCACCTGGTCATGACTCTGGCATGCGTCCGGCTGTCCATCTTACTGGCAAGTAACAGGGCGTGGCCCCACAAGCCGTTCTTCATCGCAGACTCTAAGGCATCCTGCAAAGGCAGCGAGAGTGTGTTTAAGCCCTGAGAACAACAAGGGCCCTGGAGCGTGCGCTGCCAGGAAGGAGCAGAGGGCGCAACTGCAGGTGAAAAATCAAACGGACCGAAGGCCCTGAGACACGTGCCCCACGCAGAGATGCAGAGAAGGTGGGTTCCAAGCTTGCCCCTGGTCAGAGCCCCTGTGGGACGCTGTGGAAGCGCCCTGCCTTCAGCACCGTCGGCCCAGGGGACACATGCTGTCGGGACCAGGGCCAGCGGGGCAGCAGCACTGCCATCCCCTCCACGGTGACCACAGAACGACCCTGGGGCCCCCTGGGCATCGGCTCGGCACCAACAGGGCCTTTGGCACCACAGCCCCTCTTACCCAAATAACCTGGGCTGCAATTCAGAAAACTTCTGCCCAAGAGGCAAAAAATGTTTTAATAGAGACAAATGCTAATTAAACTGAAGAGATTGTGGGATTTCCCTCAGCTGTAAAAGGTCCGCGTTAAGACCACCCACTTATCACACTGAGCTCTGCCGGCTCCGTCCTGCATGACCAGGTGCCCGCACGGAGCCCATGCAGGGCGTGTCACCATGGCGCTGCCCGCCTGGGCCCCGGCTGGGTCCCGGGCCGGTCCTCTCTAGCACAGGCCCCGCCCGCTCACGGCAGCAACGGCGAGCTCCCCCCAGCTGCGTGAGAAGACATGAGCTGTCCTGTGCACGTGCTCACCCCGAGACACGCCACACAGAGCAGGGCCCAGCCTAGAGCTCACTGACCTGCTGAGTGACCCAGCACGGAAGCAGCAGCGCCGACACCAGCGACACTCAGGCCAAGCCACCATTCGCACCTTCAGAGCCGACACGTGCGTGCCGGTCTCGGCAGGACGGGACCCTCAGCAGGGCGCTCTGCCCCAAGCACAGGGCCTGCACCCGTGTCCCACCAGTGCGGGTCACTCACCTTCTTGCGGCCGTAGAGCAGCAGCTCCCGGAACCGTTCCGTGTCTTTCTCCAGGGTGCTGGCGGCCTGACTGTCCGTGAGGAACGAGAGCTGGGCCTCGCCGGACTCCTCCTCCTCCACCTGCTCCACGGCCTCATTGGTGAAATCGATCAGGTTGGCCTCGTTTGGCGACTTCCCAGGAAGCCACACAGTTCGGTGGTCTCGTAACAAGAGCTCCGCAATGTCTGTGCCCACCACGGTCTGCAAGGGCCAGGAGGGAAAGCAGGCTCAACCACAGGTAAACCTTCCTGCAGGGGGCAAGACCATCCTAGCCTTGGTCGGGGAGGGCCTGTCAGACCCCCTCAGGTGCAGGGCTGCTCCCCCCTTGCTGGGAGCGACACGGGCAAACCGCACATGTCAGGCAGGCCGACGATGGGGAGGCCAAACCTCCCTTCACCCCAAACCACGCACCCTGCTGGGCTCCTGCTTCCTGGGGAGCCCCCCGGACAGGAATGCCTGGCCCAGAAAGCCTGCCTGATCCTCCTGGGGACCGAGGACCCTGGGACTAGAGCTGATGAGAAGGGACACTCTAGGAGGGGAGACACGTACCCCGTTCTGCCTGCACAGCAGGACAATAAAGCTCCAGAGGAGACTCGCAGACTCTTTGTCTATTAAGTTTTCATTCTGCAAACACTTTGTAGCCTTGTTCTGTGCAAAATTAATAACATCCACTTTATGGGTGTCATCTCTGCAAAAAGAACACACGCTCGGTGAACAACAGCCACTGCACCTGCCAGGCCGTGCTTGGCATGGCCAGTGGACGGGCACCGAGGATGCTTCTGTGGGCACGTACTTGCCAAGAGGTCCTGGGAAGGCCCGCATCTCCTCCTGCTCCGGCGTGTGCTGCAGCAAGGTCTAGGCAGGGACAGGAGAGGGACAGGGAGAGCGGTTCAGGGAGACGGTGCAGTACCGCCCAGCCCAGCCCAAGTCTGCTGGCCACACCAGCAGACAGAGCTATGGACAGCGCCCTGGGGACAGCCTGTCCCCCTGCGGGGGCCAGCGAAGCCTCCATCACTGAGCGTGGGCAAGCCAGCTCTACAACAGTGACTTCCAAACTTTACTTAAGCAGTGAGACCCCTTCCTCCTGCCAAGACTCTTGACGCAGGGCCTGGATATATGTGATGGAAGAGGCCTGCCAGGCACAGGCCTGGGGCACCCCACACCAGCCCCCTGTGGTCATGAGGCACCTCTGCCCATTCTCCAGATCACCGGTAAAATGAGCATCTATGGAGCCCTCCCTCCAAAACCAGAAACTCAAACAATAAAAAATGAACACAGGATAAAACCAAAACCCAGAAAAGATTCTTACAAAATACTGACTTTTGGGAGGAAAAATAGGCGGTAGAACAGAACCAAAACAACCTAAAAATCAAAGACTCACAGAAGTTAACTTTTCTTAAGATTGCTCTTTCAGGCAAGGACACGCAAGGTGAAGACAACAGGCTGTAGAGTGCGTTTTCGGGGGGGGGGGCCAATGACGGCAGAACTGCTCTCCGCGGAATTACCTCCATGCTGTGAATTTCAACCAGTGCAGGCTGTCCTTCTGAAGGCAGGTTTGGAATCACTTTGATGAGCTGGCCCCCAGGACCAAACCTGGCACAGACGTGAGGCACTGAGAACTTCTCGGGAGAAGAGGGCCTCGAGGGAGCTGCATGAGAATCAAGCGAAGAAGAAACCAGCAGCTTGTCAGTTTTCAGTGCTTCCGAATGAGATCAACACCTCAGGTTTCCAAGATACCCAGACAGCGGAGTCACAGATTATCCAGATCAACCGAGTTTCAACTATTAAACATCCCACTGAAAAGTACAGTTTACACATGTCACACAGACAAATCATTAAAAACGAGGAAAGTCTCCTCTAAAACGGAAAGGTTCCTTTAAAAGCCATCAGGATGCACTGTTTCTACAGAAACCTGCTCAGGTGGCCCCGCGCGCTCCTCACGGCTGTGACCACAGAGCGCCGGCGCGGTGAGGCAGCGGCCGAGAGAGAGACAGCGCAGGCAAGCAGGAAGGGAGGCCTCCAATCACACTGTGAGCTGCCTGTTCTCCAACTTCACACACTGGCACAGTTTTCCCAGAAACAGCATGGGATCAAGCATCTCCAAAGTGTGCTGAGATGCAGCACATGCGATAAGTAAACGACCAGAGCTTTTCAAGGAGAACCAGGCTTTCTCTAAGAGCCCCGCACCTGTGCGGTCAGCCTTGGGGCGGGGGGGCCGTCCCTCCACGTGGGGAGCTGAACTGGGCAGGAAGCCTGAAGGCAGCGCTTGTGCTGAAGTGGGTATGATGGACAGGCCAGTGGACCAAACTGCAGCCCCAGGACACAAGCGGCACAGCGTGGTAAGCGCTGCCCCTCAGGACGGGCGCGCTGAGCACAGCGCCCTTCCATGGCAGGGAAGCCCAGGCCTGGCCATCACCAGTTCCCACCCGGGTCATAACTCAGCCCCTTTCTCACTGCGGGCACAGACGCCGACCCCAGGAGCTCCCGGACCCCACTCTGCACCGTGCACACCCAGGGCCTTGCTGCACACACCTTGCTCCACGGAGGGCCAGCTGGCCTCGGTGGGGTAGCCGTACTCTGGGAAGCCTGGCGCACTGTGGAAGTCGCTCCCGTAGGGGCCGTAGGCGTAATCGCCGTGGAAGGAGGCGGGCGCAGGGGGCACCTCGTAGGACCCGGCAGGTGTGTTGTGACTCCGGTACACCTGACTCTTCAGGAGCACAAAGCCAAAAGGTGACGCCGCTTCGCTGCTGCCCGGGAGCCCGGCAGGCCCCGGAGCCCACCCCGCCTACCTGGTGGGAGTGGGCGCTGAAGCTGCTGCGGCGGCTCTGCAGGCTACGCGCCGAGTGCTCGCTCTGCTCGCTGCGCCGGTCCACCTCCTCCCCGCACGGGTCCCGAGGCGGCTCGGGCTCATCATCAAAGCTCCCGGTGAAGCGGGGGTCGTACCTGTAGCGGTCGTCGTATTTCTCGGGCCTGGAGGAGGCGGCAGGCAGAGGCAAGGCTCCTATGTTGCACAGGGCTGAGCCCCCCAGGGTCCTGACCCCAGGAATGACACGCGCCAGAGCCCACGCTGTAGCGGGGTCACCGCACCCATGGCCAAGTTCAGGCCCTGCCTGAGACCAAGAGACACAGGCTGGGGGGTCCATTCCGAGGCAGTCGCACCTCTCAAGGACCCGCGAAGAGGAGGCTGAACTGACTCCCGGCACTTGTTCTAAGGTCAGTTCCCCTCCAAAAGCCCAAAGAAAGGACCTCTGGTTCACCCCCCTCCACTGACAGTGGCGGGTCCCTGGGAGCCAGACGTGACTGCAGCTCCCGAGCAGACATCAGGACCCGAGGGCAAAGGCCTGGCTGACTCACGACCTGGCCTCCGTATCGGAGTTGGTTCTACCCACCTGTCCCCATAGGCATAGTTCTCCTTCCTGTAGGAGTCGTACTCAGCATCATACCAGTACCTCCGGTCGTAGGCACGGGGATCTCTGAACCGAGAACCGTAGTAGAACCGATCCCAGCGACCTGGGTCTACAGCGAGAGGTCAACAAGTCAGTACCACATGAAAAAGACACTCCTCTGGCTACCACTGGAGAAACCAGCCCATCCAGGGCTGAGGGATGCTCCGAGCCTCTGAGGAATGAGACTCTCCACCCGAACGGCAGCACGACTCTGGGGAACAGTGACTGTGAGGCACGAGAGGACCCAGAGCGCCTTCCTCCACTGTGACCCTAAAGGCCACTGGCTGCCCTTCTCTCAACATCTCTCTTCTCTAATGTGGTCCAAAGAGCTTTAGGAAATACTCTCAATGGATACACAAGGTCCTACTGCATAGTACATGGAACTATATCCGATCTCCTGGAGCAACTATAATGGAAGAGGATATTTATTTATTTTTTTTTTTTGGAAGAGAATATTTAAAAAGAACCAACACGTGTGTAGCCTGAGCCGCTTTGTGTACAGGAGGCATTAGGCGCAACACTAAAGCAACCACACCTCAATGAAAAGCAAGTAAAAACCTAAGAAATGCTCTCAAACTCAAAGACTGTTTTTCCAAAGCATGTTAACACTATAAACAGTCCAGACGCACCGCTTTGGGCAAACACATGCAGAACTATGCACAAAGCAGTGCAAACACACAGCAGAGGAGGAACCCAGGAAGACAGGGAAGCAGGTGGCTGTCGCGGACAAACGGCTGCAGGTTGGGACCCTGCTTCTGACCACGGCCGGGCAGGGGGCCCCGGGGGGCTGCTCAGGGCACGTGTGCCAAGAGGCACAGCCTGCCTGACAGTGGCAGCGCGTGAAGGGGAGGGGCACGGCCACTGCAGTCTGCTCTGTCCAACCCGAGGGCTCCTGTCACATGGGCCCCGGGCATATCACACGTGACTGGTGCAGGGAGCCGCAGGCCCCTCGCTTCATTTGAATCAATTGTAACTGATTGTTTAATCAATTGTACCTACCGAGAATTGTGCTTTGCTAGAAAGTCAAAGAAAACAAAGACACATTACTAAGACTAAGCTAATACTTATCAGTGAATGGTAACAATATAATTATTTCTAGATGCAAATTACTTTCAGGTACTTTGGCTACTGGATAAAATCATACGACTAATAGAAGGGAAAAGTTTCCTAAGAAAAATCACTGTGCCGCCGCCTTGCGCCTGGCTGCACCAAGGTCTGAACGCGCGTCTGCTGCGGTTAGCCCGTGACAGTTTCTGAACGTACCTCCGTAATCGTACTGGCTGGAATAGTAACTTGCATAGTAATCACTCTGACTGCTCCATCCACTTTTGGAATTATAGTAACCTTCAGGATACGCTTGCCTGAAAAACACACACAGTGCTGTTAAAAAACAAGATGAGATGCTTCTTAACGTGTGACAAGATTCCAGCCAACACACCCAGAGCCACAGGTGTTTGTGACAATGCCTCGGTTGGGGGAAAATTCCATCAGGAGATACGAACCAGTGACGACAGTAACGTTACGGGACTCGCTACCATAAAGCGAAAAGTCTAGCTGTTGAGGCAACTCCGAAAGTGCCGTTGAGCAGAAGAGGACTGGCCCTTCTCGGGGGCTCAGGAGCCCATCCCATCAGCGCCGAGGCTGAAGCAGGCTCTCCCGGCTCTGCAACCATGCTCGGCAGCAGCAAAAGGCACGGAGCTACGGAGAGCAAGCTAGCCCCGCTGTAACAGCCTCCCCCCAACCATGACCATGTGCCCCCTGAGAGGGGAGGAGGCCCTGTGTCCGCTCCAGCTGACTGCCCGGTGCCACTGGCTCTTACTGCAAGACAGGCGGGACCAGGCCCACTGGGTCAGGAAGATCCTGGGAGGATTTAATAGCACTTCTGGTTTTTAAACTGTGACTGCAAACCCCTGGGAATGGCTCACTCCGGGGTGCAGCTGCCCTTGAAGAGTGGCCCCCCCACCACTGCAGGAACAGCACCCACTGATTGGGGGCCCTGGGTCAGCACTCGGGCGCTGCGAGCCCCACCACGGGGGTCCAGAGACACGCCCTGAGCAGGAGCAGGGCAGGGCACAGCCGCCCTGCTGCTTGCCCAGCCGGTCACCCGCAGCAAGGACTCCACTTGGACACCCAGGGCACCTTCTTCCCTCCAGCAGCTCCCCTAGATCATGACCACCTGAGCACAGCACACAGATGCTCAACACGCGCACACAGGCCTGCACGCGTGTGCACACACACACACACACAGGCCTGCACGCGTGTGCACACACACACCCCCAGAGGAGACAGCAGACTGTTCCTCTCCGCAAGGGCGTGGTGAGGACGCAGAGGGGCCTGGACACTACACGCTGGGCGACAGACCCCTGCCAGGTAACCAGGCCCGCCTCCGCTCGGTCACCTACAACAGCCACAGCTCTTCTGGGCCCCTCGGGTTAGCCTGCAGGCTGGAAGAGGAGACGGGAACGGCGAGGTGTGCCCTGGCCCTGCCCTCCTTCGCCTCTCAGGGCTTCCAGGATACACCTGCCTGCTGCTCTCCCAGATCAGAGCACCCACCGTGACACCAGCCTCACCTCCCAGGGGACAGATGGGCACGGCCTCCCACCGAGCACCCAGAGCGCAGAGGTCCGAAGCTCAGCGCATCCCTCTGCAAGGACAGGGGTCCGGCCGGACAGGCCTGGCTCCTTCTCCAGATGAGCTTAGAACCAAGGACTTAAAATAGCAAGAGCAGACATAAATCTGCAACGCAGTGGGGATACAGTCTTCCCCCGTGCCATTCTCTATCATGAGCTGAAGGAGCCTCACAGTCTTGTAGAAACCCGGCCCTGCAAGACAAGGTGCCTGGGTACATGAGGCCACTATGGCAGGTGGCGAGGCTGGACCCTAACCCACTGACACCTCTACATGAGGCCACTATGGCAGGTGGCGAGGCTGGACCCTAACCCACTGACACCTCTGAGTGGGAGGACTGCGATCTGCTTAAATTTTTACTCAGCTGAAGGTGTGATGCCAAGGATCTTTCGAAATGCCTTGTCTGTAACTGCAAAGCCGAGATGCGCTCAGTTGGATAGAGAAGCAAGAGCGCGCTCGCTGGGAGCCTCCCGACCCAGGAGGCGGTGCCAGGCAGACAGCCCAGGCTTGCGGCTGCGGCTGCCAACAGGCCACTCCATGCTGCAGCCTGAGCCTGCCTGGCCTGGGCACCCCCGGAACCAGCGTGGGAAAGAACCTCCGCAGGTTAGAAGCTGCCATGTGGGCCCTCGGCAACAGGACCACTGCCCAGGCCGGGAGGAGCCCTGCTTGAGGGCAGGGGGCCTTCCTGTGGCCCCGGCCAGGGCCTGGCCTGCCCAAGACCATCTGACGACATGCCTGTGACCATGCTGTGGCAGCCGGCTCCATTCGACTCAAAGGTGCAGCCTACAGTCTGTCTATACCCACGGCACACACACACACATTCAAGGTTTCTTGATGCTTCGCAAACACCATCTCTTCCAAATCACTAAGCTACCGCCACAGCCAGCAACACAGACGTCCATCACCTGGCGGTCGGCCGGTCGGAGCAGTGGCTGGCCCGGGAGCTGGGCCGCTCGGGCTCAGGGTAGCGGTAGGGGTCCACGTAGGCAGCGCTGTCGCAGGGCCTGTACCTGGGATCGTAGAGGCTATATATGTCCTGCCGAAAGAAGGACACCGTCATTAGATGCCAAGCACCTCGCAAGGCTCTCACGGCACAGGTGAGGCTCTGCAGATGGCCCTGTTTCGAAGACGGACGGCCCGGCCTGGCTCAGGAGACGGCTGTGTGGCAGCGGGCCATGCCAAGGTGACCCTCAAGGGCTCTCTTCTGCTTCCTGAGGTCTCACCTGCGGAGGTGCTGAGACCCCACAATCTGGGGGTCCCATTTCAGGTACCAATTCAAGTAAGCAAAAGAATCCGGGTCCCCTGGGAACGGGTCCTGCGAGCTCAGGCAGCCCCAGAAAGAGGATCGCGCTCCAGCCTGACGAGGCTTTCAGCCCCTTCCAGATGCAGCAGCCCCGTGGCCCTACGGCCATGCTGGAACCTGAAGCAGACGGGTGATCCAGGCATGAACCAGACCTGTCTTTCCTGTCTCAAGGCCTGATTCTCTATCAAGAGCTGGCAGAAGACGAGACAGCATGGAACGTGGACTTACTCTAGACCCCCGCTGGAGGCTGGGCTCCCACACAGCAGTGCCGGGTGCCGGCTGGGACTCGGGCCCTCCACATTCTGCCAGCCCACCCTGGGCTCCTGCAGAACGTCACTTTCTTCCATGGAAATTAGTTTCTGGGGCTCCTCCTGGCTCTCAGACTCCCAGGTCTCGGGGTTAGGCATGTAACTCGTTCCCATGAACACACAGATGCCCGAAGCCCCTCAGGCTGCCCCACCCCCAGGCGGCCCCCAGCCCACCACAGCTCTGCTCCCTCAGCTGCTTCTGACTGCAGGGCCCCCAGTGTGGGGTCCACACCCACATCAGACACGGGGCTCCAAACTCCTGGTCCACAAGCCTTCTAGCTCCGCGGACTGTGGCAATGCTGGGCCAGGACATGAGATGCTGACAAGCAGACAATCAAAAGTGTGTCCACGTGGATCACACTAAAGCAGGATTAAACAGAACCTAACCAGCACTCGTGGGCCTGGATCCCCGTGGAGAGGGGTGAGAAGGGATGCTCTGCGCAGCACAGTGGCACCCCCTGCCGTGGCCAGGCACCTGAACATGTGCACAATGCCACTGCTCTTCAGTTTCATCTGCGCTGCACCCCAAATTTCTTACCCTAAATGATTTTATCCTAAAGAAGGGCTTTAAAAGACTAGAGTTTTCCTGTTGCTTCTCACATAGGTTTTGATCTTAAAACCAGTAAGAAACTTCAAGAGGCTATTGCAGTTTCCCAAAATGTGCCACCCAGAACTCTGGCTCTGCGACGAGCCCGTGGGCGGGCTGGGGCACAGGAGCTGGGGCGTGCTGTGCTACACAAGAATGAAGCGGTCATCCTCCCCGCTAAAGCGTGCTCACGTGCAGCGCGGCCCTCCAGAAGGACTGTGCTGGCAGAGTGAGCTGTGTCGGGGAGCACGCTGCTCACAAAGCTCGTGAAGAGGCGTGTGCCAGCAGGAGGACCACGGGTCCCCTCAGGACTGACCGCAGAACCCTGCCACGGAGCAGGACATGAGAAGGAGACCACTGGTCAGAGCGCTCATCTGGGCGAGGGCATGCCCCTACCTGGTAATAGTGGGGGGCTGGGCCAGGATCCGGCGGGTACGGAGAGGGGTACGGGGGCTGGTAGCCATCACACAGGGACCTGTAGTAGTAGTAGGATGCCAAGTCAGGAGGCGGGGGCTGCAGCCACTGCTGGTCGGGCTGCGGGGCCGCCTGGCTTGAGCTGGTGGACACGACAGAGGCGCTGGAGGACCGAGGCGGCCGGGACAGCATCTGCTGACCCACGTCAGCAGGAGCTGGGCTCCCGGGCCGGGCTGGGTCTGGAGGCTGTGCCTGCACTGGGGGACTCCCTGGGTTTGAAGGCTCCGGAAGCGCTGCTCTGGGCCCCTGCGGAGCAGGCAGTGGCGGTGCCAGCTCCTGCTGGGCTCTCTCTGCACGGGGCTGATCCTGAGCCTCTTTCATCACCTGCTGATAGAAACGGTCTGGGGTGTTTGCCCCAGGCCCAGGTGGCCGATGACTGGCAGTAGTCTGCTGACCAGAGGCCGGGCCATCCGCATGGGCCGGGCTGTACATTCCTGCAGGATTTTCCAAAGTCCTACCGAACGTGAAGTCCAGGGCTCCGGAAGCTATGTCCCGACCGCCACAGACGCCTGACTTGCTGCTGTCAGGCACGGAGGTGCTGCTTGCAGGCGGCACCAACATCAGGCCCGCACCCCCCGCAGGACTGGGCAGCCCCTCGGGAGGCACACTGTCTGTGCTGTAGACCTTCTGACCTTCCGGAAGCGAGGCCTTTGGATGAGAGTGCGGCTGAACCAGCAAATTAGCAGCTTGATTAGAAACCATGTCATAGATACCAGAAACTTGTGGAAAAGGACTCTGGGCCAGATGGTTAGGCAGAGGCGAGCAGAGGAGAGAGCCTGCTGGCATCCCAGACAAAGGTACATTCTCTCCAGGATCACCCCCGGCAGCCCGGCTGCTGACTGTGGGCTTATCTCCCACCGAAGAGTCTCTCCAGGACGCAGCCTTCTCGTTAGGATTTGGTAAGGACACAGAAACGTTAACAGGCTGACCCAGATTATGGCTTTGATCGGGCTGGGCGATCAAGATGGGCTGATTCTGCAAAGACTCAGTGGGCGGGGAGGACAGCAGGCTAGCATAGCCGGGGCCAGCCTGTGGTGGAAGGGCCTCCTCTTCACCCAGCTGGGGAGGATTCTCCAGGTTCTCAGAAGCACCAAGGCCATCCCCACTCTGAACACCTGGGCCCACCTGCCTTGCCATCGCCTCGTCTGGGGGCTGGATCACTTCAGATGGCTGAGGTTTCACTGGCACGTGAAGCGCGGGAGCTGCCGGGGCCAGAAGGACGTTGCCCCCAAAATCTGGGAGCTCATTCTGCGCCCACAAGGTCGTTGCGGGGCTCTCACACTTCACAGGCCCCTGCACCCTGGTCGAGGACCTCTTCTCGGGTGTTGGCAGCACCGTTTCCAAGGGCGGCCCTGCGGCCTGCAGAAGTCCATGTCCGGCCTCCATGGGTGTGGCAAGAGGCAGCGTGCAGAGCTGCTGCGGGAAGAGGGTCTCCATGTTGTCGGGGGGCTGCTCCAGGTTGCCGGGGGCGGCATCAGGCGTGGCGGCAGCCACTCTGTGCTGCTTCTGGTGGGCGCTAGGCCCCCTCACCTCTCCTACCACGTTGGCACGATCTGCCTCAACGGGTTTTACTCCAACCAAGTGCGATTTCACGGGTTCAAAAGAACTGTTTGCACTCGTCTGAAATATCCCTGTAGGTTTTGGGGGGCTTGGGGTCGAGGGCTGGGACAAGCTGCCGTGGTAGTTCTGGCTGGTGATCTCGTCCGTCTCGCCGCCGACAGGAGAAGAATCGATCTGCTTAAAAAACCTCCCTGGAGACTCATCCTCAGGTTTCCCCACTTCCTGCTGAATAAAGGTGCCCGAGTCATGGGGCCTGGCTGAACCTGGAAGGCCCCGCTGGCTCTGGCTGCTGTAACTGGAGGACGTGCTGTCAGACCGTGCAGAGTGCGCCGTCATATCCAGGGCCTCGAGATTAGGGCCCCCGCCAGCCGCAGGGCCCACCGCACCAAGCCTGGGGCCAGCCGGGCCGGGAAGGGGCCCGCACTTGAGCGGATCGCCTGGGGAGGAAGGATCCATGCTGAGGGGCTCGCTCGGCAGAACTTCCTGGTTCTGAACGAACTCCAGGTTCTCAACGTTCTCATACTGAGACCCTGCATGGGCCGTGTCTGCCCACAGGTGCACGGCGGCTGACTTAGAGGCTGCTTTCTCATGGGGGCTGCCTGCAGACCGAGGAAAGTAACGCTGCGGCTCTCCCCCCAGCTGCGCGGGCTCGCTGCTGGAGCCTCTGGGAAAGGGCTGGTAAGCACCTCCCACGCCCACGTGTGTGGGAAGCTGGCCGAGGCAGAAACCATCCACGTCGGCCTGCCCGGCAGAGCCTGCTGTTTCCGACAAGAGGTTCTCTTCATTCTCTGTCTCTCCTCCTCTGAAAAACATGGCGAGTGCGCCCGAGCCCGCGTCCAGTGGGGTCCAGCCGCCCCCGGCCCCCGGCGGGTAGTGCAAGTGGCTTTCCGGGCTGTTTTCCTGAGCAAGCGGGTTAACAGGAGCCAGGCCTGACAGCTGCTCTCTGTTCACTCCAGGGCTCGACCTGAGCTCCTGGTTTGCCCGAGGGTTCCCAACTCTGGAATTCTGTTTGAATGCGCTCTCTGGATCAAAGCTATTTACTGAGTGGTCTTCACTGGGCAGGCAAACAGCCTCGTTTCTTCCGTCACTGGCCGAGGGTCCTGGTAAGGATGCCGGGGGGCCGAGCTGCTCGTGGCCAGGACGCTGATGCAGGCTGGATGGAGGGGGAAAGTGGGTGACGCTGGAGGCATGAGGCCCTGGGATCTGCAGGGCTCCCTCTGGGCCAGGCCAGTAATGCTGACCTGGGGGCCGCGGGCCTCCCTGCCCTGGCCCCCACTGCCCGGGCACTTGCTGATGGGGCTGAGGGGGGAGAGGGAGCGCTGCTGGGGGCACGGTGCTGTCGGGGGGGCTTGGCCGGCTCAGGGGTCTGTCAGGCCGAGGCACATGCCCCTGCAGAAGGCCCCCGCGAGAGCTGCTGGACCCCACTCCTGGAATGTACTGTGGCAGGTACGGCGCGTTCGGGAGCTCAGGCTCTGGGCCAGGAGTCTCGGCACTCCTGTTCATCTCGGGCCCGTGTGGGGCCGAGGGGGTCGGCACCCCGGGAAACGGGCTGGCGTCTGCCCTGGGCTGCAATGGAGGTCCCGGCAGAGGTTCGCAGGGCCCTTGGGAGCTATCCCCCGCGTTTGTGTGAGGCACGGGCAGACCCACACGTGCCAGGGATGACGGCGGGGCTGGGCCTTGCAAAATGGGTGGGCTGCTTTTAGATGAGCCGCCCAGCGATGTATTCTGGAGAGCCTGTCGGCTGAAAGCAAAAGGATCTGTCACTGGCTGCAGTGGGCAGGTTATTGGGGCCATCGGAGTGTGACTGCCGGCCTGCCTCCTGTACGGGCTGTTAGACCAGAACATGGTCTGAGGACTCCCCGATGGAGGCGGCCCAACCACGCCAGACGGGACGGCCTGGGGTGGCGGCTGCATGACTGAACTCTTGCACAATGAGACGCTGCTTGCAGAAAGAAGCAGGAGGGAGGTTTTCCTTAATCTGAACTGAAAAAGAAAAAAGGGGAAAAAAAAAGTTAGCATAAAATCCATTTATTCAAAGTCCTGGCTACAATCAGGAAAATTGAGAAAGAAGAAAAAAAAAAGGAAAACAGTTTGCATCTTATAAGTCCTGAGGGATACACCCACCCCTCACCCATCCCTGGGAGGACTGCTATCCGGGAAGCGACAACACCAGCCTGGACACCAAGGCTGGCCGTGCTGGAGCCAGCCGAGCAACTTCAGACAAATCACTGCCCTTCTGTGAAATTTAGTTATGTAACCAAGCTACATACCCACATGGAATGCCCACCACCTCCATGATGCCCTCAGCAAGCTGGCAGGGACCAAGCAGAACCCAACACCAGGCACCACGGACACAGTATCTCCACATTTTCCAATAAATTATCACTAGGTCCAGAAAGAGCCACCTCCTCAATTAAGACCACATACCGTACTTTTCACACAAGTTAATCTTACATTTGGAAAGGAAAACAAAAGTTAAAAACCTGCTCCTCTGTTTTAACTAAAGAGCATTATAAAGCACAGAGTAACGTAAGCTACAAAATGACAACTATATGAATTATATGCGCCTAAAACTCCTTTTGGAGAAGGCAGTGACACCCCACTCCAGTACTCTTGCCTGGAGAATCCCATGGACGGAGGAGCCTGGTGGGCTGCAGTCCATGGGGTCGCTAAGAGTCGGACACGACTGAGCGACTTCACTTTCACTTTTCACTTTCCTGCATTGGAGAAGGAAATGGCAACCCACTCCAGTGTTCTTGCCTGGAGAATCCCAGGGACAGGGGAGCCTGGTGGGCTGCTGTCTATAGGGTCACACAGAGTCGGACACCACTGAAGGACTCAGCAGCAGCAAAACCCCTTTTCTCCCAGCCTGTAGTGTCCGCTTTTCCACTCCGTGACTGGCCGCACACCACTAGCAAAACAAGCTGCGTCTGATGACTGGAGCTGTAACAGCTACGCCTGGAATGAAAATCCCAAGTAACCATAAAGCAGTGCTAAAACTGACCAACTAAGTTCATTCAAAATTTGTCAGTAACAAGCAGAGGGCCCACAAACCCTTTATGGAAAACAAAGGAGCAGAAATCCTCTTTACAGCGTTTTTTGTGGCTGTCTGTTTTTTAATAAAACATACTAAGTATAATCTTGAACAGTTAACCTGAACTCTTGAGACAAAAATCCAAGTACCGTCTCTTTACAAATTCCTCTTCTGTGTGTCAGCCCTCCTCCTCAGCGGCACCCTCACAAATGGATTAAGGGGAAGCCATCACAGAAAAAAGTCGATACCAAAGGAAGAAATGACAGAAGGACGCTACAGTGTAATCTACATGTTTCTGCAAGTGTACAATGTTTCTGTCCTTGGACAAAAGAAATTCAGACAAAAGAAAAAGTGAATGAATGCACATTAAATAAAGTCATTTTCTAACGAAAGTTACCCTGTGAATCCGCTACAATTACTGCTCACACATGGTCTTATCCCGGGCCAACAGGGAATCCTTTCCAACAGACAAGCACTCTGACACTCACTTAGATTTCATGGAATTAAATGTGTGAAGAATTGCATCAGTGACTTCCTTTGGTTCTAAGCTGTCATTTTAAAACTAAGAACACTTACAGCTCAGCTACAAGGGCCCAGGGGAGGACAGCAGAGCCTCTCCCTCTTATCTGTGAAAGGGAGGCACCCAGGACCTCTTACAAAGACACGGCAAGCTCCTTGAAGGCTTCAGCAGGAAACCCTCAATCACACTAAACAGCATATATTAAAAAACAAAATACAAAGGATAGGCCCACAGGATTAATTCCTCAAGTGTCACCATGAGAAAAAGACTGGGTGCCAGTTGAATGGCTCAGCCACACCACTGCTCCGTGGGTGACCAGATTTCTTCATCTAAAAGTGAGAGAATTGAAATGATGGTTTCAAAGTCCCTTCTGGGTTTAGTCTTATGAAACTCTATTCACAGTGGATTCTGGGAGGCCCTAATCCCTACGGCTGTTTTCAAGAGAAATCTTACCTGATTCTAAATTCCACAAAACATTTATACTCAATTATTTTCCTTGCAGAAACTTTCTTAGCATTATTTTCTCAATTCCTAAGGATCGCTTCATAAGCAGACGTTATCACTTCCCTACAGAGTAGTTTCCCCTTCTCTCCCCCTGACAACTAAGAGTTTTTCAACAATAAATTGTTTCATTTGGAACCATCTTCTGCCGTGAACATTATTCTTTTGATCTTTTATTCATCAGCAGAAAAACAATGCAAGCATATATCATTTATCTCAACTATAGGGAGTTTCATTCTGTCCAGTAAGTCATTCTGTAGCCTCAGGTCATCTAACTTTAAAAATGGCAGACTGCTTCAAAGAAACCAGCTGATCTTCCTAAAGATATATTATTCATAACTGTAGCACTTCAATTAAGCTGCCTTGGATCTACCTGAAATAAGCACAACCTGTTTCAATATAAATTTCCTGGCTACTGAACTGGGATAATGAAAGCACAGGTCTCTCCCACGAGGGCAGCCGCCTCAAGCATGAGCGTGTAAACCATCCGGAGCTCCAAGAAGCACCTGGGAGTCAGGCTCTGCCCTTGAGGCGACTGCTACGCGACACAGCTATCAAGACCATGGGACACCGGGCGCAAAGACAGCACAGACCCCGACTCTTCTGAGTACAGAATCAAGCATCCAGATGTTAGGGAAAAGGAAGGGGGTTTCTAAACACTGCCGAAAGCAACGAAGAGCCAAAAGGACACCCTGATGTTAAGTTAAGATGCTTACAGAGGCAGGAGGGAACCATATTAAAATTTACATGCTACCCTAAAGAAAACTTCTGAGACTTAAACTGCAGTAATTTGCTGTTAAGGTATATGAGTCATAGAAAACAAGAAAGGACTTTTGCCTCTTGCAGGATCTCTGTAAGACAAGAGCACCCGAAACACTAAGAAAGAGCATTGCTGGGGGGGGGGGGTGCAGTGCAGACACTTGAACAAGTATCACCCTAGGAACAACCATCTGTGACTCAAGTTTGCTTCTTAACCATTTCCGGGGATGGGAAACACCTTTCCAGCTAACCTCTACATCGAATGTATTTAAAACAAAATCTTAATAAGCAACCCAACCTCCAAGCCATTTAAAACTTTACAGGTAAAACAGCAAAACTGATTTTAGGTGGCTGTCTCACGTCCAAGACGCTCAGCGCAGGTTAGTGGACACACTCCTCTGCCCCTTGATATAAAACAAAACACAGCGCCTGACCTCGGTTGCAACATCTAGGTGACCTCCCCACGAGATTACCAATAGACGCAACAAGGCTGTAGTTCCTCGGTTCAAATATCAGTGTACCTCATCGCCGGCAGGGCTCAGCAGTAACCAAACTGCGAACCCTTCGAAGCAAAGGGCACGCTAAACTGTGAAAAGAATTCCCGAGATGTTTCTCTCTAAAGAGTTGCAGATCTGGCTTTTCCTCCAGCCTTTCCAGCATAACCCCACACCGAGATCACAACGGCCAGGGTCCACACAACTGATCCGACAGCCTGTGCAGATGTGGGGCCACGTCAGCACTCATGGTGGTCTCCTGGCCTGCTCGGCCCGGAGGCCCCCGCCCGAACCCCCCGGCGCCTGCACCCGAGCCCCGGAGACGCTCCCGTTCGCTTCGGGCTGGGCCCGGTCCGGTCGCCTCCCTCCGCCCCAACCCCGAGCCTCACCGGCGCGCTGCAGGGAGGCCGAGGCCCCCGCCGGTTCCTGCCCGGCCCCTCCGCGACCCCAGAAACCGGCTCCTCAAGAGCCGCGCGCAGAAGACAGCTCGGCGGTTGCGACAAGAGCCGACACGGCAGCCGCGGCAGCCATCTTGGCACATCCGGCTCCGGGGGCCGCGGCCTACGCGCCGTCGACGTGTCCGACAGCGACGTCAGCCCGCGCCACGCCCCTCGCAGGGGCCCTCGGGACGCCCCGCCCCTGCCCCATTCAGTCCCACACTCAGCCCCGCCCCCCGTTCTCCACCGCCCATGCCTGGGGCCCCGCCCCTCGCCCACCTGCCCGGTCCGGCGCGCGAGGACCGCTTTGGGACGTGGCACAGGCTATGCTGGCTCTTTCTCCTGGCCTCTTCTGGCCTGAGGATGTGACAAGAGTCGGGAGCCTTCCAGCAAACCCAAGGAAAGGCTCAGTCTTGAACGACCGACGCCAGCAGGTACCCCGGTCGAGAGCGGCTACAGGGCTGTTCCGAGAACCCGAGGGGCGCCTCGGCGCAGGCGCATTCCTCGAGTCCTGCCGTTGGATTTCCGAAGCCTGGGAGACGGGCGGAAGGCCACCGCGCAAGCGCCGGCCGCCCCCGTGGGCTGCGCGTGCGCGGCTCGCAGCGGCGCGCGGGTTGCCTAGTTACCGCCCCTGGCTGCGGGGGCTTCCAGATCTCACCCGGAACCTCGTCGGGGTGCACCGGTAGCTCTCTGGAAGTCCTCCTGCGGCGTACCGATGGAGCAGGAAGAGATGCCCTGGTCCCCAGTTCACAGCCACCCAGGCTCCCGCTTCGGGAGGGTGGGGTCGTCCTGCGCACCTGCGGCCCCCAGACGCCCCACCCCGGCTCGGCCGTCGCCTTCCCCGGACACGTGCTCTGTCCGGTCGTTTCCTTCCCCCGCGCTCCCCGGCTCTGGCCGCGCAGCCTCCGAACCCCCTTTTGTCTGCCCTAAGCCCCACCAAGGCCCCTAACTCTCCCAGTGAGCGGCATTAGCCCATTGATGCCCTGTGGATGGAAGCTAGGGTCTCTGTGTGGTTTCCCCTAACCGTTGTCGAGTGGATATTTGTGTTGAATGAGGGCGACCGCGAGGTACCAAGTGGCAGGCTGGGCCGCTGCGCCTCACTCTCCTGTGCTTCGTGTGGTCCCTCCCCCTTCCCGGTGCCCACCCGGAGACACCATCCGATCGCACTCATAGAGGATCTTAGGGAGGAGAGGTTTCTGCCATTGGTACCATCATTCTCCCAGTGAGAAAAGGCAGGTGAAGAAGCCGCCAGCTTGACCCAGGGCACTCACCTGCTGCCTGCCTGGCACAGGGAAGAGCAGCAGCCTGTCCAGCTGGCCCCAAGGCCTTACGGAGGGCAGAAGGGGTGGCACGTGGGGCTGGTCCACTTGTCCCCCACCCAGCCGCTGAGCTCCCAGCAGCTCTGCCTGCTGTGCTTTGGCCTGGCTGAGGTGGGAGGGCACCCTGGGCGCTGGTGGGACCCAAAACCTTGGGAAGAAGGAAGGAGTGTGGTTCTATTTGTTGGCAAGGGAGCAGCCACGCTGTCAGCACCCTGGGCGGGTGCTGAGAGACTTTCAGCCCATCTGACGTGGCCACTGTGCTAAGCTAACATTTGCCTTGCAGAAATCAAGCTCCCAGCCTGTTCAAACACAGAGTTAGGAAACACATGGTAGAACACAGCCCTGGGCCTTACCACTCCGTCCCCTTCTTCCTGGTGGTCACTGTGTTCTGCAGTCACTGAAAGTGAAAGTTTAGCCACTCCATGGTGTCTGACTCTTTGTGACCCCACGGACTGTAAACTACAAGGCTGCTCCGTCCACAGGATTTTCCAGGCGAGAGTACAGAAGTGGGTTGCCATTTCCTTCAGAGGATCTTCCCAACCCAGGGATCGAATCCCGGTTCCCACATTGTAGGCAGATGCTTTACCGTCTGAGCCACCAGTCTGCAGTCATTAGTCCCAACAAATTACCTTGCAGGGAGATGTCACTGTTACCACCCACCCCCACCCTCGCCAAGAAGGGAGAGCAGTGACTCTCCTAGGGTCAGCACTCCTCAAGTTGAGTTCAAAGAGCTCAACAGCTCGAGCCCAGACTTCCGCTTTGGTGACCCGGAGCCCTGTGGTCAGCCCCACTGAGCTCTAACCTGAAGACATCGGAAGCAGCAGAAAGCAACCTGCCTAGGGAAAATTGGAGACCTCAGGGCCCTGGGCAGGATGTTAAAGAGACATTATGGTATAGACTCCTACCAGGTAACTCTAAGGAAAGCCATGATCAGGGCTTAGGGCTTTTTTCCCTCCCTTCCTCTCTCCCTCTTAAGCCTCTCTGGAATCCCTCTCAGGTTCTGTCTGTAGCCTGGTGTGCAGGAGAGGGTTTCTGGGCCCACTGCTGAGCCATCAAACCTCTGGGCCATGGAGGCAGGGCTCTGAGTCAAAGACCATCTGCTTTAAGACCCAGGCTACTGCCTAGATGCTGTGTGCAGTTTGTCGCCTTCCTTGACCTTGTCAACCTGGGGTTTAAGCAAGGTGAGTACCTGGGCAGTTTGGGGACTGAAAGAGGGTACTGTTGATATGTGTGAACAGGTGGGGGGGGGTACACCACCATGACAGCCATCACTGTTGGTGATTCTGCAGGCACCCTTCCTTTCGCCTGCATTGTCCACTCCTCTCTCCCAGCCCCGCCCTTTGCTCATACTTGGAGGCTGGATACAAATGTTACCACCTCCAGAAGTGGGCTAGAATCAGCCAGTCTTTCCTGGGGGCAAAGTAAGGATCGGAGCTGTAGTCACCTTACCCAGAGCATGGGGGGCACAGAACTGCTGTGGACAGAGGCGGAGCCAGAGAACCGGCTGTCTTGTCACATTGTATACAGTATTGCGATGGTGGCCTCTGCCACCAGCCTGCGCCCTCCAGGGTGGCTGGTACAAACCAAGGTGGGCTCCAAGTGCAAAGTCCACACCTCGGTGCCAAGAACGTGACCTAGCTCAGTCACAGCCTTGGCTTGCTGTTGAAAATATGTTGGACATATTGGGTTAAATAAAATACACTATTCAAATTTATTTCATGTTTCCTTTTAATGTAGCTGCCAGGAAGTTTAAAATCCCACCTATGGCTGGCATTACATTTCCATTGGACAGTGCTGATCTAGCTGTGAGCACGTTGTCAGGGGATCAGGGGCCCCCCTCAGTATCCCCTGATGACCAACCTACTGGACAGACCTCACAGGGGCCCTAGGGCAGCCATCTCAGGTGGTCTGTGGCCAGGAGCCTGTGCTCCTCTCTCTGCTCGGGGCATCAGGTGTGACCAGTGGGTGTTTGTAGGGCAGGTCAGTTGCTCTGCCCACCCCTGACCACACCCTCAGTTCTGGATGCTGAGGCTGAGGGCATGGGAGGGGGCCTGCCCGGCTCGGCCTGGGAGAAGGGGCAGCCTCTGTGAGATGGGGCTGGCTGGGTGGTCCAGGCAGAAAGCGTGTCAGGGCCTCAGAAGGTGGGAAGAGCTGCAGGGGGGCTTCCAGAGAGAGATGGGGCTGAGGCGGACTGAACGATGGGAGAGGAAGGGGTGACAGCCAGCTCCTTTGGGAGAAGGTGGGTCCAGAGGCACGGATGGCTGGGCCTCAGTTTGTTCTGTGGCACCTGGGTGTTGGGCTGCTGTGTGTAGGGGCACCTGTCAGGGTGCTTGCAGGTTGGTTACTGGTGTGTGGCCAGGCCGAAGGTGAGACGTGGGAGACACCATGAAGCATAAGGCCAGTTCCGTTAGAACCCTGGAGGGCCTCGCAGGAGAACGTTCCATACCCAGACCAAGCCCTGACCTGGCCAGACTTGGTAAATGTCAACATGAGTATCACTGTAGCCTGAACGTAGCTCTGTCTCTCACCTCCAGCATCTGGTCTCAGAGAACTTCTTTCATAATTGCCAAGTACTAAGCGTATAATGTTGTTTTTCAGTTGCTCAGTCCTGTCTGACATTTTGAGACTCCACGGACTGTAGCCCATCAGACTCCTCTGTCCATGGGATTTTCTGGCAAGAATCCTGGAGTGGACTGCCATTTCCTCCTCCAGGGGATCTTCCTGACCCAGAGATCAAACCCAAGTCTCCTGTATCGGCATTGGAGGCGGATTCTTTCCTGCTGAACCTCCGGGGAAGCAGTAAGGGTGAAGTAGAGAACTCAGGAAAATGCTGATTCCATGGGAGCCACTAGGAAAATCTGTGTTGTGTTCTTAGCTGCAGCGGGGCCCCGGAAACCCTGAGAGCCCTCTGTCTCAGAGCTGAACACAGATGTTTGCCAGGCTCCCACCGAGCCCCAGGCACCCAGAGGGGCTGAGGCTGTGGCCGTGCGGCAGACCAGCATGGCTTCTGCCCCTGGGGAGCTGGACATGGGGTAGCTGTGAATGTGCTCAGTGCCGGAGGGGGCACCTGGCGAGGCCTGGGTCCCACCTGCTGGGGAGTGGGGAGAGGCAGGGGTGGGAAAGGAGAAGTATTTGTGGCAGAAGCGAAGAGAAGCTTCTGGAGGGGCAAGGGGCAGACCCAGAAGGCAGGCGACAGCGTGGGAGCCAGTGGGTGTGCATCGCATGGGCCTTTGCAGGCCCCATGAGGGGATTCACGTTTGTTTTCTGAAAGCAAGGGAAGCCTTCAGGGACTTTCCAGCCAGGAGTGACATCATCTCTTTAACCTCCCCTGGGCTGTCTAGCAGAGCAGTAGCCAGAGCCAGGAGCCCAGGGTCCCCTAGGGGCATGGTAAGGCTGCGGGGGCCAGACTGGTGGGGAGAGTCGAACCTCAGATGACCTCCCAGGGCGGGATGTGGCTCTCTGGCTACCAGCTGCATCCGCACCCCCTTGGCAGAGCACACGCTTTATACACATCAGCCAAGGGAACAGATAGGACGGGAGGGCAAGACCCCTGAGCATCAGCATCGCGGTGACCTAAGTCACAGGTGTGGCCCTGGAGGCCGGGGGGACTGGGGATCCAGATTGGAGTGGGCCTAGGGCGGAGCCTGGAGGAAATCCTACACCTGCAGGTTGCCAAGCGCCAGGCTGGCTGTGGCCTCAACTCTGGTGAGATGAGCTTGGCACGCCCCTCCCTAAGCACGGGCTGCTCTGTTCAGACAGTGGTGAATGAGCAAGGCAGGCTCTCCAGGCCTCCAAAGGGAGGTGGCCCCTTGAGGAGCTGAGAGGACACCGCCTGGGGAGTCACACGGCTCTGGCCCGAATGGGCAAACTCAGGGAAGTGATCTTCCTCTTCGAACCTCAACTTCCTCATCTGTAAAATGGGACAACAACACCGTCGCAGGCTGGATTCTTTCCTGCTGAACCTCCGGGGAAGCAGTAAGGGTGAAGTAGAGAACTCAGGAAAATGCTGATTCCATGGGAGCCACTAGGAAAATCTGTGTTGTGTTCTTAGCTGCAGCGGGGCCCCGGAAACCCTGAGAGCCCTCTGTCTCAGAGCTGAACACAGATGTTTGCCAGGCTCCCACCGAGCCCCAGGCACCCAGAGGGGCTGAGGCTGTGGCCGTGCGGCAGACCAGCATGGCTTCTGCCC